AACTGAACAAAATTTTTTAAAACTGTTTCAATTTTTTTTGCAAATTTTTTTTTGATTTTTCAAGTTTTTGATTTACAAAATTGAAAATTGTGCTAAATAGAACTCCAGAAACTACCTTTACTTGATTTATATTAAGTTTTTACGGCTGAAATTAAGCTTAAAAAGCTTTCATAACCATATACGGTCACCTTATTAGCTCAAAATTAGACCAAAAATAAAAAATTTCAAACCCGTTTTCAAGACACTGAAAAAAAATTCAACCCAGTCCAGTCATAAATTCTGCACTCGACTTTTGTGGTAAACAAAAAGCAAAAAAAAAACCAAAACACATCCAAATACAAAGTTCCTCCCCATTTTCAATGGTCGAATAACCAGGAGAATCTGTTGCGACAATATACATTGAACAATCCCCAAAAAATATTGTTTTTCTTTCGTTTCTTTTCCAATTAGTGTCAGTTAGTGCGTGGCGTGATTTTAGAATTATGCAACAGCGAGGAAACGTAGTGAATGGACATAATTAACAACACTTGCTCAAAACTAAGAAAATAACAAACATAAAATCAAAAAACAAGTTTTCAGATTATTTAATTTCAAAATTTTAAAGTTTTTAAATATGAAAAAGTTACAAATCAGGAACTAGTTATCTTTTTTAGTAAATTTTTTTATCCTAAGAGTCTTTATTTTACAAAACAAGCCTTCACATAACGATCGTTTTTGATTGGTTTTTTTGCTCAAATTTGAGCTAAAATAATTTTTTTAAAAAGTTTTCAATGTTTTTCTCAACACTTTTTAAAAACAGTTTTTTTTTTAATTTATGTTTTTCAAATCACAAGTGAAAGGGCTTCAAATTGGTAGAGCACTCGACCCATTATAAAGGTTTTTTGAGGTACCTGATATTGAGTTGAAAAAAAGACAAAAAACTAAAACACCTGTTATAATAAAATTTAAAAATATACCTAACCATATTAGAATGGGTCGCTCTATTTAATATCAGTCACTTGGTCGGTATGAAATTTTGGAAAATCAAGACCCGGTGTTGAAGCATAACGAGAAGACCAAGTTTCTTTAGTCCATAGGAACCCGGGCTGAGGTGTTCGACTCATGATTCGACCGACACGGTCGAACGGAGTCCGATTTTCGTCGCAAATTAAGACGGTCGAACGAACACTGTAATCGAACAAAGTCGAATTATGGGTCAAACAAGGTCGAATCATGAGTCGAACAGGGTCGAATCATGAGTCAAACAGGGTCGAATCATGAGTCAAACACGGTCGAGTTATGGGTCGAACAGGGTCAAATCATGAGTCGAACAGGGTCGAATCATAGGTCGAACCGGGTCGAAACATGAGTCGAATAGGGTCGATATAGTCGAACAGGGTCGATAGAGTCAAACAGGGTCTAATCATGAGTCGAACACGGTCGAATCATGAGTCGCACAAAGTCGCAACACAGGTCGCAAAGTGTCGCAACATAGGTCGCAAATTGTCGCAACATAGCTAATTTGGGTCGCGCAAAGTCGCAACACGGGTCGCGCAAAGTCGCAGCATACCTTATTTGGGTCGCGCAAAGTCGCACAATATCTTCTTTGGGTCGCGCAAAGTCCCATAAAATTTCTTCGGTCGCGCAAAGTCGCAACATACCCATTTTGAGTCGCAATGGTCGCAACATACCCGATGTGGGTCGCAATGGTCGCAACATAAGTCCCCGACCTCGACCCCAGAACCAAAAAACGCTTGATCAAGTTGGTCAAAACATAGCCAAATTGGGTCGAGTCGGTCAAAACATTGCCATTTTTGGTCTGGTTGATTGAAATGTAAGTCCAACAACTCATCCCGGGCTATGCGAATCTACGATGCTCAAGTTTGTGGAATTTCCTGTTATATTTTGCGGCTGCCCAGGCTGAGGTTTTTGACACATGATTTGACAGAAACGGTCAAATGATGTGCGATGTACGTTTTAGCTCAGTACGCTTCGGCTAATTCCCGGTAAAATCGAAAAATTTCCGATAAAATTGATCAAAGTCGAACAAAGTCGAACAATGTCCGGTAAAGTCAAAAAAATTCGAACGATGTCCGGTATAGTCGAACAAAGTCGAACAATGTCTGTCAAAGTCGAACAAAGCCGAAAACAGACATTGTTCGACTCAAAAAGTCGAAAACAGACATTGTTCGACCGTTTCGGTCGAATGATGAGTCGAGCACCTCAGCCCGGGAAGCCCAATTGTCGGACACTCATAGTTATTCAGAGCTGCATGGAATTGCACCTTCGCCTTGGTTTCCAGGCCTAGGAGTGTTTTCAACTCTAGGTTACCGCAACAAAACAAATTCTGGTGGTTCTAAAGAGGCTACTAGTTTTCACGTGGCAAGCAGAGCAGAGCGCAGCAGAAACAGAAAATGGAGCTAGCGGTGAAAGTGGTGATGTGAGAGCGAGAAATTCGACTTCTCAAAATGCTGGTATGGCACAAGAAATTCGGTAGTAACAGAGTTAGCAGCAAGAACACAGGAACTGGTTTCCAGCAAAACTTTGGAGCAATTTCTGCAATTGTTTCGACCGGTGGTCCAAAAATTCCAAATCCAATCTGATTAAAATGATTTGGTTTCAGGAGGAGTGCTTCCCAGAGTTTGAGAGGGCCTCCTGATAATGATGATTATCTCATTTAAAAGAAGCATTTTCTGCAATCATTGTCATGTCACCTGGCGACAACACTCGAGATTCAACCGACTGTAAGGAATCGAAGTGGGAAAAGTAAGAATTAACAGTCCGAGCAGACTTCAAATTGTTTCAGCGGGGCGAAAATAAGAATTTACAGGAGTTCTAAAGGACTAAAAAAAGGTCGAGGAAGCTGATGAGACTGTCAATAAGAGATTGGAACTAGACGCTATTTAGCTGCTGAGTGGGCCTCAAAGGAAGGTATCTGGGATCCCGAAATACGAGTGCATTTACACCGAGAGAAAGCCGTAATTAGCATCGAACACTGCATGCCAGAAGGCCATGAACATGGAGCGGTTCTTCAGATGGCGGGCCAGTGCTTACAGTTAAATTATAAAAAAAAGCAATAGATTGTGGGGTAGGAGGTAACCGATTGGAATTCAAAAACTCTAGAGGCAATCTGAAGAACACCATCGTAGTCATTCAAACTGCAAGAACAATTGATGCCGATATTGATAATGGTTCTAGGCGATGAAAACTAGTTTGAAGAAGAAACAGTCCAAAGGCGACCTCGAAGGCTATGCCTGCTACAAGAAGAGATTTCATGCACGCAAATATACAAAACTTATTAATTCTTAAAACAAAAGACCAAAACGTATTGAGATAAGAAAACTTTTAGCAATCAAACTTTGAAAATAATGTGGTCGCGAAGATCACTCGTGTTGGATCTGGAAGGATAGACAAGACTAATGCCAGTCATAGAAACATCAAGACCTAAACTGGTAATGAAAAGCGATATGATACCCGGGTACAGGTGCTTGATTTATGTTTCGACCGTCTCGGCAAAAAGATCAGCTGGAAATAACTTGTTACAGAATTCAAACAATTGTTAGAAGAATTCCAGGTACAAGATACCCATTCGTAGTTTTTCCAATCTGATAATTAGCCTAGCTAATATCGAGTCAAGCTAATTTTACAATTGATATAAGAGGTGTATTTAACTTTCCAAATTTGTTCACTAATCAACAAAAAGACTGTCGTTGATATCCGAAGTAGCTTTCTTAGCTTGTCTGTACGTTCGCAAACTGCCACCGGCGGTGACTGATCTAATTCTCTGTGTCCCTTGTGGGGTGCCAAAATATGCGCGTTAACCTCCACAAATCGTAAAAATATCAGATTTCAAACAATTGAATTAACGAGCATTTTCTCGGTAAAATAGCTCTGGAATGCTTGTAACATTACGATTTTAACATTACTTTAACATCGGTAACATCGGCCACAATCATTTGATTAACTCAAAGCAAGCTGTCAGTTGACCAGTATTTTTCCTTGAGACAAATTGCTCTTTTTGAAGGTCAGCCTTAATCAAGGCTGAACCGAATTAGAGCGAAAAAGCGGTTGAAAAAGGTCAACTGAGGCTAAAGCCCCTCGGGCTTACATGTTTAAAAGTTAGGGTATGGGGATTCAAATTCACGCCACATGGCAAGTCTGATTAGTCGGCGGTACGTTAGCTTAGGTCGCTCGGCAATCTGCTCTTATGCGCTTGTTCTTATTTCGTTCATTTTATTACGTCGTTATATCCAGTTACTTTTACGCATTTATGCTCTGGTTACATTTGCGTTGCAACATTTTCCGTATTCTGGTATATCACTTAACTGATTCATCAAAAATACCTGATCTACAAGCAACTGTTAAGATGCATAAAGTAGTGCGTTGAAACAAAATCTTTCAAACTTGACGCTTGCCAAGTCCATAGATGATTCACCGTAAAAAAGTTTTCGCAGGAGATTGTTAAAATATCTCAATTTGATTATTTTTTAGTTTCAGGATTGGCCAAATTGTCCTTGAGAAACTCAACGAAATCCAAAATCGGGTCATCAGTTAAAAGATTTCCTGAGAAAAAATTTCTTACCAACATTGGAAAATTCGCTAATGCAGGGGATACGCCAATAGTTTGCTGTTACAATTGAATCCTTTGTCTCAGATTTGCATAATCTTTTTTTATTTTAGTGAGCAGCCAAAGAAGGAAAAAGAGTCCATCTCTACTAAGATAGGGGAAAAATTCACATATGGACTAAAAATAAGGGTCGGTTTTTGCATCATCGCTGAGATTTTCGGCAAAAAAAAAACTATTGACTTCTCTGACATCGTGAACTTAATACTGATGCGGTGTACACACTTGGTCCCATGCAATTTCATCAGCATGTGCCATAATCAGAGCTGCAATCGAGTTCAACTTCCATTTTTTGCATTTAAATCTCGACTGCAGTTTGACCAAATAAAATTCCAAAACTTTTTCTGCCTATTTTCATTCATACTTGATCATCAAACAACACAAGCAGACCATGGACTTTCCGATGCTGAGCATTATATATCAATACCAGTATACTCTAACATATTGACTTTGCGTATAACTAATCATAACCAAAGACTAATCATAACCTCACAGCTGAAGCATCTCTACAACCAAGCAAACCAAAGGTGAATCTTGTTCAGAGTCGGTACACTTTGCCATTCTGCTCACATTGGCACCTATACAGTTTTTGCTTGTGTAATAAATCTGAATAAGCCAAAACGGTGTTATTGTTTACTACTCTCTACTTTTTCTATAACGTTTGTTTGCTATCATTCTTACAAAGAAAATCATCATAGCTGATGAGTATACGCTGGAAAGAAGGTACGTACAAATCAAAACAAACATGAATTTAACACTCCTTTTGACTGAGTATTTTCACAGATCCATTTTGTGCTGATTGATAAACCTGCAAGCATCTACTTTGTTTAGAAAAATTAATGGCCTAGAAATTATATATACTCAACCTAGATCCAGTCAACTTGGATATCTAGCCGAGATCTTGAAGGTTCTTAAGGATTTACTAAGATTTTAACTCTGCAAACGAAAATGGAATTTTCCTGAATTTTTGAAAAACCTGCGTTAGCTCGACAAACGAATGGAATTTTCCTGAAATTTTGAAAAATTTTCAAAATGCTTAAGATTCCGCCGAGATTCTTCAAATCAATACAGATTTCCAAGGGAGTCGAAACTGCATCTATGAAAAATTTCATCGTAAGCGGCAGTATTACGATGAAATTTTTGATAGATGCTAAACTCTCGTAGACGCAAAACTTTTCACTGACGGACTCTCGGAGATCTTTAAATATCGAACTACAACTAAGTAGAAATGCTAATGAGCATATTAGAAAAATCAGCATTTTATCGATACAGATTTCTTCTGGTTGATGGTTGACTGAAATTAGTTTTTTCTAGAAAAAATGTAGTTTGATGCAATTTAATAACTTTTTTGTTGAATGCAGTCGAAATCCTGCGAGATTTGAGCTGCAATAATGGTTAAGGTTGTTAATATTGTTTTAATAGGTTTTTATGGTATACTGTAAGGTGTTTAATTTTCCAGTCATTGGAAAAGCGTTTTTTTGTTGTAAATTAAAATCTTTATTGAAGATTTCTTTTGCGTCAAAGAAATTGGTCGAGAGCACTGTAAAATTTTGAAAAAAAAAACATGTTCGTATCTTGTTTTAAAGGCTCTTTTCCAGTCCCCCCCTTTGATTTTTTTGATATTCAATATATAAAAGCCTAATTAAAGTTATATTTCTTTTCATAAACTGCATCGAAACCTGTCAGCGTGGACAGGTGAAAAAACTTTTACCACATTTTCGAACATTTCTTGAATACACGCACGGGATGGATAAATGGGGGGGGGGTTTGGGTAAACTTGGAGTGGGGAGGGGGTGTGGCCGGGTTCTAAATTTGCAGAGTTTCTGCAGTTTCTAAAGGAAAAAATTGATTTTCATGGGTTTTTGTGGCCTTAAAAAATCGATTATTTTGTCAAAATAATCGATTATAATGGATTTTTAAATATTGAAAATAATCGATTATAATCCTCTAAAAATCCATTTTTATGGTTAAATGGGTCATGAAACTCGATTATACGTTTTTCGTCAATATAATCTATTATAACCGATTATATACCATGAAACTCCAGTGCGGGTGCATATGTGAACAGAGTTTCTGCAGTTTCCCTGATATATTGAACAGCTTAACTTTATCAGGGGGTGGGAAACTGGAAACGAACCGTTTTACATTATTGTTTCGACATTTGAGAAAAAATGGCAGGAGAAATGGATTACTATTGAATTTTGTTAGTTATTGCAAAACAGAACTACGAAAGAATGAAGGTGTTCAGAAGAGATCATTTGCTTGCCATGCAAGTTTCATTATTTGATGACTAGCTGTTAAGTTGAATTTCCAGAAATGCAATTCACAGTTTTTTTGCATCTAACACTCGGTGAAAGTTAATTAAGAAATTAGGTGTAATTTATGGGACCTAGAAAAAAAGACAAGGAAATATGACGGTCGGGCTCTTTTCCAGTCCCCCCCCCCTTTCCAATTCAATTTTGAAAAGTCTATTTAACGTTGCCATAATGCAATGAAATTTGGCGTGGTGAACAAATCGACAATTCTGAACAGATTTGTTTTTCATACTTTGCAGCGTAAAATCACGCATTTAGCCGTAATAACACGTAAAACAAATGGCTCTTTTTCCTTTTCCCCCCACCTGCAAACTTTTACATGTAAATTTAATAACCAGAAGAAGAAGAAGAAAGAAGATCATTTATCCACGAGGGATAGGGCCAACATACGAGCTGTACAGCTCATCACGGCGAACCGCTGTTGTGCCCCTGCTTAAGAACTACATGCAATTTTTTTGGTTATTTTTCTGGGCTGGGTAAGGTTGCCTCACCCTCAACCAAATTGTCCAATTGTTATGAAAATTTACATACAGACTAATAAGGCCACGACAAACATGTTTGGTCTTCATACTCAACCTCGTAAGACCACTCGTTACACTAATATATTGAAGCTCGTGTGAGGTGGGGGGGAAAAGGAAAAAGAGCCAAACAAATATAAAACTGGGTACTTTGAAAGGTGGGGGGGAACTGGAAAAGAGCCGACGGTCGTATGCCGAGTTTAGAAAATAATGCTTTGTGATTTCAGACGGGAACTGGAACATTAAAAATTTTGTTTAAAATGAAATTAAACGAATTGAAAAGTTTAAACAGAAACTATCAAAATAGTAATAATAAATTTCCTACACAGTCAATGCGGAGCTTCGCAGCACTTGCGATGCAACAAAAGAATTACGTTATAAGAAAAATAAAAGAAAAACAGACGAAAATAGGAAGACGAAAGTAGGATTTTTTGAAATTAAGTTGAAAAAATAACTCGAATGAACAAACTTTTAAAAAAATGATTATCGAGCGGTTTTGAAGCAAAAAATTCTGGTTGACCACAGGTTGAAAAAACAAAATTTTATCATAAAAATTTTGAGCTACGAAGTTTCGAGTTTTTTAAGATACCCTTAGTGGTTTCTTCTGAAATAAAGTATTAGACACTTGTGTATGGGTAGAGCCGACTTCCTGCTCTTCTGATTGGACTCAGTGTCAAATTTCACACGGTAGTTTTGAAATTTCCAAAAAAAACGACAGAAAATGAACCATTTTTAAACCGTACCTGCTTTTCTACAAAACGACAGGGTATAACCGTTTATGATGGGAAGATCTCTACTTCATATTTCTTCAAATGAACTTTTAATCACATAAATGGTGGGTTAGTGTTTGAGAAAAGAGAAAAACTTTTAAAAAAAAAAACGCTCGCTTTTCAAGTCTTACTTTTTCCAAGTTTTTAAAAGTTTTCTACAAAAAATGCGGCGTTGCTGCTTCTACAGGGAACATTCCCACAAACAGTTATTTTGATTGCATCTATAATTACAGAATCATTTATATATAGAAAAAAAAACAATAACCAACTTTTTTTTGAGCTCAGATTTAGCTGGGTATTTTTCGTAAAAAGTAAAACTTATGAAAGCAAAAACCGTATGAATTTCAAAAAATTGACTTTTCCAAAGCACATTACAAACTTCCTTTGAAAAAATGAGGAGGCACAGCTCTGTACAAAAAACTTTGCAGCCTGTTTCTTTGGCTGAATTGTCAATCAGAGATTTCAAAAATGTTCCCAAAAAACTGTCCATAAAAAATTACTTTTCCGAACGCTTTATCGTTCAATGTTTTGACTTTGTTGAAGCCATATTTTTGCAAGAAAAACTATGATGTAGCCATCTCATTTACGTCGAGATAGTTTCCTCAAACGAAATTTTTGATAGAACTCCTGAACTAAAAACTGACAAGCATTTTTGCGAGAAAAGACAAAAAAATTCCAAAAACAGTCGAAGTTTCAATAATTTAAGTTTTCCCAAAGCAATAATTTTTTTCTTGCCAAAAAAAGCAAATCAGCTAGGGCAAGAAGGTTTTATCGAATGCTTGTTTCTGACAATTTGAAGTAATTGACTCTATACTGTTGATCTCAAATACTCCCAAAAGTTACAAACATTGCTTCCAATTAGCAAAAGTTATAAAAAAACTTTATCCCAAAACTTAGAACATTTTGAGCAGTCATAATTGAAAGCAATATTTATAACTTCTGTGAGTATTTGAGATCAACAGCATTGTTTGGAAGCAATTTTTGGGATAAGTGTCTAAGTTTGGGATAAGAAATTTTATAACGCAAGCGTAATAATTGTTCTAAATGTTTTCGAAAACATAGATATGAAAATCAAAAATTTTTCAACTCTTTTTTTCTGGAATACTGTCAGGGTACCCAAGGATTGCAAATCTGCACTCCTCGAAAAAAAAATTCTCGAAAGTTTTAAATATCTGAGATATGATGTTCTTCTTACTTAAAAAATTCAAAAACCTTTCGAAACTACTTCAAAATTTGCAAGGGTTGCAAGTTTGAAGTATTTGCACTTCTCAAATTATCTTGGTTTCTGAGGTGACATTTTTTTATTTGTCAAATTTTCAAATAAATCATTTCCTAAAGAAATGTTTAATTAAGGAATTTTTTAAACCCTGTTGGATCGATCGCCGGTCTATTTTACGATTGCATTAATTATCATTGTTTATAGTACATATTTCACAAAGCTCTTTTCACGTTCAACGCTCAGTTTGAAGCACCGCAGCTGCGAGCCATGCGCCAGTGAACTGAAAGTTACCTTTTTGACTGATTAAAAAACGCAAGCTCATCGATATTGGCAAGAATTAGGCATTAACTATAAAAAAAACTAGCTTTTGCATCTAAAATTTTATTGAAGTTGAAATTTTTCTGTTTTACTGTTCCAATTTTTTCATGTCTCATTTGTTGTTCAGACAAAATTCATGTCTCATTCTTCTGCCTTTATTTAATTTGCAGATCGTTTCAATCAACTCTTGCAACAAAATATAGGTGAATTGCTGTTCCATTAACTTTGTCCGTCCCCATTTTTTGAAGCTTTTTGCATACAATTTGAAGCTCTTTCGGCTCTTTTCCAGTTCCCCCCTTTCAAATTCAATTTTGAAAAGTCTATTTAACGTTGTCATAATGCAATGAAATTTGGCGTGGTGAACAAATCGACAATTCTGAACAGATTTGTTCTTCATACTTTACAGCGTAACATCACGCGTTTAGCCGTAATAACACGTAAAACAAACATAAAACTCGTTTTTTTGAAAGGGGGGAACTGGAAAAGAGCCGCTCTGTGTGAATAAATTTGATTCAGTTCAGTAACTTGATAAGTGAAGTTTCTTATGGCCTTGGTTAATATGGAGTGTAAAATAAGTAACTTGAAAATAGAATAACTTAAATGTAACCTTGTTAAAAGCGGAAAGCATATAAGAAGGCGACGACAACACTCGCTCTACAGAGCTATAGTTACCTGGATTATTTTTTCATTATGGTCCATTTTTATTCCATACTACAACAATAGTAACTAAATAAAAACAACCTCAGCATTGAGAGCAGGATTCGTCATCGAATGTATCAGTCATTCATTGTATATCACTACACATGGCTCATCGCGCCGCTAATTTTTTCTATTTATAGCTTCTATTTGGCTTTGATTTTAGGTATTCTCAGTGCTAGTAAATATTTTTCAGTAGCAGTTAGTTGCAGATCTGTTTATTGTCAGTAGTGAAAAGGGTAATCCGATAGTAGCAACTCGCGCTCTTTGATCCGATTTTAAGGCCATCAACATATAATTTCCATTTCAGTTCAACTTTTGCAGCATCTTAATTCCATGAACACAAGCCCATTATTTTAGGCTATCTGCCATCCTTATTTGATGAATCGATGTTTTAAATACTTTTTTAGAGGCCGAATCCTGAGACAGTGAAAAAACTACGTCGTATCAGCAAATAAACAGAAGAAAACTTTGACCAAAAAAACTCATTCGAAAGAGCTGCATTGTCTAATAAAAGTGTCAACAAAAATAGTTGCAATGGAGTTCTTAGTTTCTGAAATCCATGACGATTACGTGAAATATTACTCGAACCGATTTGCATCCACTTTTTCAATAGCATTTATCGAGAAACATCAAATGGCTATAATGCTGTTGAGCTATGCTTCGCTTTGTTACTGGGGATTTAGCCTGGCCAAACAAAACGCGAAGCCGATTGTCCAAGAGGGAAAGTGGATTTTGAGAGTATACAACATTTTCCAGGTTATTTTCTCCGGCTACATCGCATATCTGGCGGCCTCTACTTACCTCCTAACCTTAGTGAAAACTGGAGATATGTGTCAAAGAATGGACCTCGACACAGAAAAAGGTACAAGTGTGATAGTTGAATGTCCCTAAAACACTACTGATAGCGCCTGAAAACAAACAAATTTGCATATCATCTCAAACTATTTTTGCATTGCTTCACATGCGCTTTTGAGTTTTTCACACAGAGTCGAAGCTGAGCTCGCACCACTTGCGATACGAAAATGAAAAATTGCGAAAAAAATTCGAAAATGTGGAAAAAGCTAGATGAATAAGGCTCGTTTTGGAACAAAAACATGCCAAGATACTAGAAAAAACTAGATGAATAAGGCTAGTTTTGAAACAAAAACATGCCAAGATACTACAAGAACAAATACCGGAAGATAATGTACCCAGCGGTAACAAAGCCGTACACACCTTGTCAGAAAACCTGTAAGTCCGCCTCACCCTCAAAACACACAAACACTCAAGAAAACTTTATTTGCTCGTCAAACGAAACAATAAGAGGCCACTTAGCCGATATGATATAGGCCGAAACCTATCAAGCCGAAAAAAGGAAAAACAAAAGCCGGAAAAATGTTGCCATGAAAAACTTAATTCTATTAACATTTTTAGATTTTTGTGCGATCCAGAGGTGAGCATAAAAAAACATGTTTCCGTTAAAAAAGACTCGAAATTAGGTCACTAAGCCGATAAAAAATAGGCCGAAATCATTTGGGTAAGATGAAGTTTTTAAACGAAAAAAATATAGATATACATATATATACTAAGTTACGTTTGGTACAACTACAAATAGCAGAGGTAAATCAGAACACTAAAAACAACCAAAATACAAAAAAAATTTAAAAAAAAACAATTCTACAATATGCAAACTTGATAAAAGTGATTCTGTTAAACAACCCGAAAAAGGTTAATATTCCGATTTGATAACGCTTGCTAATCGCAAGCGTACAAAATAATGAGACGCAATTTTCATACTTAACTTTCTCAGTAACCCAACTATCATACTTGTACCTGGAAATAGACGACAAATGGTACATTGATCGGCAAACATACACTTGCTACCTATTCTACATTAGCAAACTAGTCGACATTTTTGACACCATCTTCATCATCATTCGTGGAAAGTGGCGCCAGTTGACCTTTCTTCACGTGTTCCATCACACATCCGTTATCTTCCTCGGCTGGATGGCGATCTATTATCACCCTTGTGGGTTCTATCATATCTCGATCCAACTCAACGCACCAATGCACTTCTTCATGTACTTCTACTATTTTCTCTCATCTTTCCCCGAACTGGCCCCCCATTTATGGTGGAAAAAGTACATCACAACTCTTCAGCTCATCCAGTTCATAGTGGGGTCGGCGATGGCAGTGTTCTGCTTTGTGAAACGTCTGCTAGTTGGCGAGTCCACGGGACTCAGTCTTATCTACACGTTCTCCGTTATCTTCTACGGAATCACGCTTCTGTTTCTGTTCACGGGGTTCTACAATTCGGCCTACAAGAAGAAAGATGAAAAGAAAGAAAAATCCAAATAGGTCAAAAGCACACAATCTTCATTTATTTACAACTTTAACAGCAGATTTCGACATGATTAAATGCCATCTGTCACTAAGTTTAACTAACCAATTTTACTTCAATGTAATGAAACCTGTATCTTAATAACAAATCAGATTCCATGTATGATGCACTGGTTTGAACTAACTCAGGAATTAACAAATACTTGCAACATCCTTAACTCTTTTGAAACAGAGCCGTTTGATCCACAAAAAAAGCGAGAGGCAAAAAACAATATAATGGTAACACATGTACCCAACAGTGGCATAGTTGAATGGGTAATTGAAAATTGTATAATTATTTGAAAAGTTTCAATTGCGTACCATTTTAGGTCATAATTTTTGAAGAATGTGGAAAAAGAAATATTGCTAAATAAAACGAGACTCAGAGTGAAAAAGATTGACCAAATCGGTCATTATTAGCCGGATATAACCCGCGTTCTAGAAAATCAAAATCAGGCACGTAGTACCAGGGGCGGATTTAGGGGGGGTGTCGCCCTTTTCAGAGATTCGACACCCTGCCGACTAAAAGGGTCCCCCTTTGTACTATTTTGAGATATCCATGTTTGTTGACGGACCCTAAAAATTTCCAAAAGCGCCTTCGGCGCCAAAAATATTAGTTTCGTTTTTTCAAAAAATTTTTAATCAAATTGGAAAATCAATTTGGTCGACGAAAATCCGTAACCTCCCCCCTCGAGAAAGTCCTAGATCCGGCCCTGCTCTTCACAGTTTTACTTACCATGGCTCACACTTGTTACGGGGTTAGGTTAGGTTAGAAGTAGCAAAACATTTTTATTCAACCATAGTGGCCACATGTCACCAAAAAAATTTATCGAGAAAATTTACTAAGCTTTTTCGTTCAATTCTCTTCATCACAAACAAAAATTTCACGCTTATATTACATGCAAAGTTACAGTAATACAAGCGAGGATCAAAAAATCTGAATTTTAAAAATCCAAGGTTTTTGAATTGCGCTAAGTAACAATAAAACGAGATACATTGACAAACTATTTGACAAGAAAATTGAAATAAAGTATCAGGGTGACCACTTTTACGTGGAAAAAGAGAGACCTGTGTTTTAACACAGAAATCAAAAATAAAAACCGTTTTCAAATAATAAAAATGCATTTTTTCTGAACTTGTGCAGATATATGGCTTGAACAGAAATGGAACGTTTTGTATTGTTATTGATTCCCAGTCCCGAGGGGGGTGGCGGCAAACGGCAAACGGAGGGTTCAAAGAACAAATTTTGTATTTAGGTCTATACAGTTTCAACTTTGTGGTATCTCGCTTCCCTTGAAACAATGATCGCTCAAGCTGAATAAAAATCATTTTTTTTCGAAAACTTTTCTCGATACTGTAGACAAAACCCCTTCAAAAAACTACGCGCAATTTGTAGATCAACCAACATTGTAGACCAAAATTAACTTTCATGAACACAGACACTTTCTTGAAATATCTGATAGTGGCCAGAACCACCAGAACAGGCTTTACGTTTTACACATGCCCATACAAGGTTTCATCGGCTGCCGCAATATCTATCCGATCTCATTTCTGCCCATCCTTAGGATGGTAAACAGAAAAGCATTGTAGCTGATAATATGATACCGCGTCTCTTTTTAATTCTCGCCCCTCACATGAGCGTCATATTTTGTGGTTTAACGAGCGCTTTTACGAGGTTAACTATGAAGACCAAATATGTTTATCATGGCCTTATTAGTTCGGCTGCCAAATTCCACAGCAATCGGTCATTGTGAACAAACATTTCACTGATATTAATTCGCAGGTGTGTGTGGGGCGATACCGTTTCACACAATACTTCTATTAAAAGGTTTTTTTTCCAGTTCAGCATGTCTATGATGATTCAACTTAGACATAAGATCTTCAAACAAACAATTCTGGGTTTCTAATGGCCTGTGAATTTCGTCGCGTAACATTTCTTTTGGTCTTTCTTTTTTGGAAAGAATTCAATATTAAAATTGTAATCAATCAAAACATGGCCCATAAAAAGTTGGAAAAGAGTCAATGAACGCAAGTAAACAGAAAAAAAAAACTGTGAAAAAATCCAAATTTCCAAAGTGCCAAAACAACTAGATGGCTTTAAAGCTCTTTGAATTTTTACAACAATTTATGATTGCCACTTAGTAATAAAACTAACCCGATTTGAGAAAACTGGATCAATAAGTATTTTTTTTGCTGGAAAATCTGAAGATTAAATTCTACTTTCGAAACTAGAAGTCGATTACGTTTTTCGTGGCCTTCAAATTTTCGCTGTTCAAAAGTGGGGTTCGCCTTCCTTCTAACAGAGGAAGTGAACCGGAATTACAAAGAAATCAAAAGTCAAACCGCGAAGTAATGTTGAGCATAAGCAAATATTAAGACTTTTCCTGGTAAAAACTTAAAATCATCAAAAATCATTATTTTCTCCTCGTAGCTTCCGGATGTGCAGTGGTAATTTGCAATCATTTTTAGCACTTGCAGTTGCATGTCGCTTTCCAAAAAACAACCGAAAATTAGGTTGGATTAAAATCATTTTCGAGTTGCAACTGGGATCAAAACAGTATGCGTCAAAATTCATTTGTTCAGGATAAATTTTTAAAACCTAAAATTTCGTTTTTAAAAAAATCAGACTTGTTGTTTCTTACACTTAAGACTAGATCAGGTTAAGTTAAAAACAAAGGTTAAGACACAAAAACCATAGCAAACAGACAGTTGGAAAAGAGTCAATGAACGCAAGTAAACAGAAAAAAAATACGGACTGATTTCTTGAAAACTTTTTTTGAGTTTCATAGAAAAAATAGATGCCTTTACAGAACAATCTACGGTCGGCACTTCAATGATAAAATTAACCCATCTTGAGAAGACTGGATTAATAAGTTAAATTTTTATTTCGCTGGGAAATCTGAAAATTTAATTCCACTTTCGAAACAGGAAATCGATCACGTTTTTCGTGAACTTTACACTTTTGCTGTTCGATAGTGGAATTCGCCTTTTTTAATAAAGAAAATGAGCTGAACTGAAAAAAAAAAACAAAAGGATAAGCGCAAAAAAAAGAAACTTGAGCCTGAACAAATTCTAACAAGCGAGCCAACAGAAACATCTATTTTTTATTCTCAAAAAGCTCCCGGAACACGTTGAATGCTGGGATCATCGGCGAATTCCTTGCTGCGCCAACAATGACGGCAAAAATTGAGCAGACAAAAAATGCTTGCCAATCGCAATCGTAAAAAGTGCTATGATCCAGTAATCTGCAGCAATGACTCCTGTAATTATGAATCGATGCTGTCAAATCGAAACTCTCATTCTCTCCAATGGAATCGAATTAAAATTGAGGATATTGAAATCTCTTCAACTAAATCTAGTAAATACAAGTTTTTTTATAAATGATATTCTATCACAGGCATCTAATCACTTTAAATCAGTTTCATTTTTCAAATATTTGCAATAAAGTTCAAAGAATCCGAAGGTCAAAGCAGTTGATACTCCTCCCTTGACTAAATTCGGAGAAATTCCTTTGAAAAAACTGTTCAGCCCCTCTTCTCTAAGCATTTTCCATGCGCAATCCGTGACACCTCGATACTCGACAAATCGTCCAAAATCTTTTCTAGCTTCGCCAAAACCTTGAATCATCAGTCGTTTCTTAAGCACATCTAGCGGATGCACAATGCATTTGACCAGCAAACCAGATAAAAACCCTGCCGTCATGTTTGCAGTATTATCGTCGATGTTTGCAGTCGATTTGATTGACTTATTAAACACATGATAAAAACCAAATGTCATCCCGCCAGCGGGAAAAGTTTGCAGCAATGCGGGATACAGGCCTCTATAAAACCCAAGAAGTCCTTCTGTTTTCCCAATCTGATTAACAGCATTTGGAATTGAGGAGTAAACCTTTTTGATTCCTTGAGATACGAGTCGAGTTCTCAAAACATCGAGCGGCATGGCTCCAATAGTTGCCAGAGAACCGCTGATGCCACCAACGACAAACTGATTTGCAAGAGTTTTCGATACAAAGTCTCCATTATCAGCCAAAGACGTCAGGTGTTTGTATGCGGAAAACTGAATGGCATTAAATGTTATGGTCAACATTTGGCCTGATAGGTGACCTTTCCAGAAAGCCTTCAGACCTTCTTCTTTCAGCAAACAGGATAACGTCTGCCCCCATGATTGATATTTGCTCTGAAAGCCTTTGTTTAACTTCCGTTGTGCGCTTTCGTCTCTGGAAATGGCTTCAACTTGTAATTGCCATCTAACTTTAATTACGTCCAGCGGGTTGACAATTAGTCGCACTGAAAACCCAGTTAGGCTTGCAGCAACTGCAGTCGAAGACAAACTCAAGTCCTTCACGGTATCCAGAACTATTTCAAAGGCAAAAAGACAATCTTGTCTCTGAAATCAATAAGAACGTGGAAGATATTTTTAACTTTCCCAGAAACAATCATCTCCGCACACGCACAAACGCCGAAGTTTTGAGAATAATCGTTAATTAATTGAAATATTTGTTAACTAGCTCTATATAGAATTCAAAGAAGCCAAACTGCAGACTAGTAGCGACTGCACCTTTTACAACGTTCGGACTCAGTCCTTTGAACATTCCGAGAAATCCTTCAGTTTGCAAAATTTGGGCACTGCAGTCCAGCATATTTTTGTAATAAACAAACTTTCCGAACTCTTTTCTGGCGTCTGCGAAGCCTTGTACCATCAATCGTTTTTTGTAGACATCCAGAGGGTGCAGAATTGTTTTGACGACTGATCCAGTTAAGAGTCCCGAGAAGAAGTTAGACATCTGTTTATGATCATGCCCTGCAACGTTCTGCATTGGCGTTCTTATTGCAATGTAAATTCCAAAAGAAAGACCGGTGAACGGAAAAATTTGAACAAGCGCAGGGGTTAACCCACGGAAATAGCCGAGAACTCCATCTTGCTTGTATATTGTTTTAAAAGCATTCGTGATTGACGTGTAAATTACAAGATTGCCCTGAGAGACCATTCTAGTTCGAATCAAATCGATAGGCAGGGTTCCCAGGGTCGCTACACAACCACTTATACCGCCAATAACAAAGTTGCTTCCAAAACTTTTCCGATCAACAAAACCGCGGCAGAGATAGTTATAAGTTGTAAACTGCAAACTGCTGTACCCGATTGTCAACACTTGGCCCGATAGATGACCTTTCCATAGTGCGCTGTAAGCAAAGGATTCTGTTTAATACAGAGGAGTCATCAGAAAAGATATTGTAACGAGCTTTATCTTTACCTTACACCTTCTTCTTTTACAATACTTCGCACCGTCTGTGACCACGATTTGTATTTTCCGGGTTCAATGTCAAATTTTGAAGATATTGGTTCAATTTGAAGTTGCCATCGAATCTTGATCACATCAAGCGGATTCACAAACAATCTCACAGAGAACCCTGTCAATGCTCCGGCAGAAGCAGTCTTACTCAAGGAAAGGGAACGCAGTGATTCCATTTCGACTCTAAGTTATATCAAGCTCGCTCCCAGCTTGACCATTTTTCATCATACTGGAACGAGCAAAGCCTGTAAGTGCCACTTCAATCAGAACAGAAAAAATATTCTCAACCCATGCTTCAATTACGGAATCAAACAGTTGCTGATTTTTGTTTTCACCTTATGAAATGCAACAAAACTTTTGTCTCTTTTGATTTATGGATTATCAGGTTGCCGTAAAAGATCAGACGTGATTTCAGGCTAAAGTGAACGAACAGGAAAGAATTCAGGTCAAAAAAATACTCCAAATGCATGAAACTCTTGAAACCGTACCGCTTGAGATTGTGTAACCATCAATTATTTTATTTCAAAGCGCACAAAATAAGGTATATGTGCCTTTCGACCAGAATGGTTGACAAAAAAGAGCCTGCTTCGCCGGAAAAGACGTTAATCAACAAAATTAACACAAAAAGCTAGAAATTGACATTTTTGGTTTTAAAACTTTTATTTGTGACATAAATTTTGCGACAACTGAAAATACGAGAAATCACTGTCACAGAACGCCAGAAAAATGGGAAATCTATGAAAAACTATATGACGAAATTGCACTGAAATCATAGATACAATCAAAGAAGCCTTCCGGAAAGAAACAATTGTACAATGACAATCATTACTGCTCCAATTCAGTGGATTGGGAAGGTTGATAAATACTGACAAATTCCTTACCAGATGCGAAGAAGCTAGACTTTTTGACAGAGGTGACTTTTCAGGCAGGTTCTGGTTATAATTTGAACTGTATTAACTTTAAGTTCTACAGATAAGTCTTGAATTTGAATGGGCATCTTTAACTTTTATTTTCAGGATATGAGGAGCTGGGAGTTGGGAAAAGTTCGATCCATCTCCGATTGATATACCATCTCTCTAATAAACATAAAACACGCCGACATCAATTTACCAGCCCGTGTTTAGCAGTGAGCTTGCGGCCTGTGGATAATGAGACCCAGCCATACGCTCACTGTTTCTGCTTCTAATGAATCAACTTGTATGGTTCAGCCACAAGCCTTCAAGTTGTAACTCAGTAACTTGTTCACTGACCCAATTTACGAAGGACTAAGATTAATTGGCTTTAATTGAGACAATTCAGAGCACATAAAGCCGCATTATAGCACTAGCCAATCATTACCGGTTTAGGTTTAATTTACCGCATTTATAGAGAGTTGCATAAAGTTCGGACAGACAGAATTAATTAAAAAGAGCAACTGTCTAGAAATCATCGGAAATTAAAACTGAAATATACATAACGTCGAAAGTTCATAAAGCAGAGTTTCGCTCAAAACCTATAACATCGGCGGCCAATTGCATCCGAAGCGTCGAATAAAAAACCTTGAAACAGGACAATTATTGCTCAGGGTGGCTAATGTTTTTCTGCGATTGGTTTCCAAGCTTTGAATAATATGATCATCTTAACTTCCGTTCAGTTTTTTTGCGCGGCCTAATCTGTTTTTTTTTGCAGTTGAAAATAACTCTAGATTTCGATTTTTAACTAATTTTGCTAACTGTTCCATAGTAAAATCTGGATGTTCATCGCATTATTTAAAAATTAGGCTAGCATAATCATCGGATAATCGACAATCTCGCATTTTGAATTTGGTCTGACAAAAAATTCAAGGTTGTTCGGCTTCAGATTTTGCATGCAAAAAAGCGTCGAAAAGCACTGATTGCTCATTTTAATTAATTCTGTCTGTTCGAACTTTTTACTACTAATTATATAAGCTCTCTGGATGAATGACACAATCAAATGCAATTTATTCAAAATTCTTGAAATTGACAAGTTTAAAGTTCAGCCTGCAGTCATTTTGCTTCGTAAAATCTCTCTTTGTTTAGGAAAACAGCAGGTCAAAACTATCAAAATGACATAAGTTACATCTGCTGTACCTTATCGAGTCATCTATTAAAAGAAAACTTAGCAAAAAACTAGCCCGAAAAATCGAGTCGAAATTGCAAAAAAACCTGGAAAATTTATAAATTTTTTGGCAAACTTAAAATATGTTGCACCATAAACTTCAATCGATTTCAAATAAAACTGCTTAAACCTAAAATAAACCAAACTAATTAAAACTAAAACTTGTTTAAAGCACTTAAAAATTTTAAAAAATCAGAAACCATGCATCCGAAAAAAACTGGAATTTTACTTCAAAAAAAATCTAGAAAACACATAAAAAATATTTCTAAGAGAAAATTTTGGCGCTTATAAAAACCAGAAAAGCATGAACTATATTTGCCCTCATGTACCCGCCAAGTAAGCCGCCAAAAATTGGGTCCAAATCAATAAATCCGACAAAAAAATCAACTTACGTCTTAAAATTTTGTTCATCTCGAAAACAAATGTCAGTTGAAGCCAGCTTCTGAATTACAGCAGTTAGACGTGCATCTTGCGAAGGAAGATATACATTTGGAGATGACCAAAATTCAGTCATCCTGTGAACTCAGTTGAAGCGAGCTTTTGAATTACAGCAGTTAGACGTGCATGTTGAGTAGGAAGAGATACATTTGGAGATGAACAAATTTCAGTCATGCTGTGGACAAAGCTGTTCACTGCATAAAAAAAGTCTAGTACCCGATTGTAATACTCTTGCTTATCTTGGGTCGCCATATTGAAAAGGGGGGAAGCAGCTCATGGCGAGGACTCAATGACAGGCGAGCAACCTGACGACAAAGAAGTTGTGCGAACATTGGTCAAGAAAGTCCCGGAGGACATACTAAGACGGACTACGTTTCGGAAGAAGAAAGTGTCATTCAAGGAGGAAGCCGAACACCTCGGACTAGATCAAGAGTTCGAGGAGTGGCCGAAAACAGAAGGAGATAGTGAGAAAGAGAATTTGTCCGGGGAGTCGGAAGAATGGGAGGATGACTCAGAAAAGAGTGGTGATGACCAAGACCGTCTTTGCATGAAATAAGCAGAAGAGAAAATGAGGCACCACGACAGAGAACTACGAACTGACTCTTCCTCAGGGACGTACAACCTAGAGCAACAGGATGCGTACGGAGGAGAAGAGCTTGAGAAAATACCGGTGTCAAGGAAACCATTCAGGGAGCTATCGTGCAATTCAAATGGAAGAACGAACCTGGAACCGGATGATGACAGGGTAGTCTTGAAAAGGATAGTTCGCGTTAAGCTAAAAAACGACATCCACAGTCCCGGAGAACTGAATGGTCAAATGATGTCATTGAAGGAACACGTCGAGGCGAGATACAGACTGTCGGATCTGATACGAGCCCAAAAGAATGACAAGATGACGAGCAACCTCTCCAAATGGATCCGGACGGGAGACAAGGAGAAAGGATACCTGGAGGAGGATAGTTACACAACTTTGAGCCAGTTCTACAAAGAGAGAAGGGACTTACTGTATCACACAGCTGATGGTGTGGTAGCCTGTAGGAGGAAAGATGAGGAGAAAATATTAGACAGGCATAATCTCATCATACTACCACAGCTATACCAGACGCAAGTGTTGTTCAGATCGCACGACCAGATGGAATATCAGGGGATAGACAAGGTGCAACAAAGATTACTGCACAAGTTTGATTGGCCAGGGTTGAGAAGGGCTTGCGAGAGTTGGGTGAACGCATGTTTGTCGTGTTTGCAAGTGAAAGACCCTAAAAAAAAAATTCCCACTTAAAACCATGAAAAACTCGGAATTTACTGAGGTCGTGCAGATAGACCATCAGAAGATCTGCATGACCAACTCGAGGTACAATTAGATCCTGGTAATTATAGACCACTTTACGAAACTGGCAGAAGCGGTACCATGTCAGACAGCCACAGCTGAAGAGACTTGTGATCATTTGATAACGCACTGGATATCACGATATGGTTGTCCGATGATATTCCAATCGGACAATGAGAAAGCCTTCTTGGGTGACCTGACAAAAGAACTGATGAGGAGGTCCCACATTGCTCAAGCGCATTCAACAACCTACCATCCTCAAATGAACGGATTAGTGGAGAGGCAGAACAGAACACTGGTGAACATGCTCAGGGTATGTTGCTCGAAATACATGACAGATTGGGATAAATATCTGCCGCAAGTGGTAGGGGCGTATAACAGCACGCAGCACTCAACAACAGGGATCAGTCCTTTCATGATGTTAACTGGCAGGTAGAGAGCGATGCCCCTGACATTCTTCTATCCGGAATACGAAGGAAAAGAGACGTCGCCGCAGGCGTATGTGAAGGAATCGGTCAGGAGACAACAGGAATTGAACGAGCTCTGTAGAAACAACACGGAGCAGGCACAAATGAGACAGCGGAAGAATTACGATGAAAAAATACTTCAAGCGAAACCGTATGCTGTGGGACAATACGTCTGGGTGATCCAGAAAATCATACCTTCAAAAAGGACCAAAACGTTACTGAAGAAATGGAGAGGACCGTTCAAAATAACAGAGGTACACCAGCAGGGCCGGATCTATCGCTTGATTACAGGGCGTGCGCCGCACTAAGAAAATCTGAAACCTCACGTCCCATCTCCGGAAGACTGGTATGTACCACAGAATATCGAAGGACTTGAGCATCTACTGGAATGTGAGGTGAAAGAGAAAGGCACCAGAGAGAAGAAGGACGGCAACGAGGACATGAGCATGAAGGATAACGAGAAGATAGATGTGGATTCGGACGAAGGATCTTTCGCGGAGGAAAATTGGAATGATCCAGAGCAGGACCAGGTACCAAAGTGGACAGAACCAGACCTGCCGATGACCACAGGGATGAGGAAAGGCGATCGCTAGGATAATTAATGGAGTTGTTAGGATAATGTCTTAAAGGTATCAATAGGGGAGGTCTAGGTTAGACACGAGTGGAAAATATCTTGGTTTAAAATTGAATTCTATTTTCAAATTGATTTGAAACTGAAACGACAACTAAATCACAGTTGGCAGAACAGGAGAAAAAAAACCACTAGACGGTTCTTCAATGATCGTGCCAGAGGAAAATTTTTCTTGAGTTTGGTTAGGTAAAGTATTTCTTGAGTTTGATTGTTCGTGAGATTTTGTGAGAGTAAGGAAAGCAGCAATGGAAGATCGATTCTGGAAATCTGTGCCAGCGGCATTCAGAAAACCCACACTCGACGAGTTATAAAAGAGCCTGAGGGACCTCGACGACACGCAAGTGGATGAGAGGCTCGCGATCATGCTCAATGCCATACTGTAACTGTAGGCGTAAGGGGAGTGCAGGGAGTCTGCGACTGAAGCCGTGCTGATGGTGGGTTACACCTCGGATGGAATCTCGAATCAGAAGCAGACCAGATGGATCCTGGAAGGTGGACGGAGGCGTGAGAGGATTTGATCTTGCGAGGAGCCCTGGCTTGAGTAACACCACGGAGTATGGTGCGCGGGAATTTCCCCTTACGACCAGACCAAACCACCATCGATGTTCCGGTCGCAACAAACAGAAGAGTCATATCCAGATCTCAGCAGCATGAAGAGAGAGTTGGAAAGTGCCCGAAAGGAACGGGAAAAGGCCAATCTGGATAGGGACCAGGCGGCTCTTGATAGGGATCAAGCCAAGCTTGATCGCGACCAGGCAATACTTGAGCGATAAGGCGATTCCTGACCGGGATCTGCTGATGGCAGAACGGGAGCAAGAGCAGAGACTACAAGAAATTGTGGCAAATTGTGATCAAATAAAGTCAGAAAAAGAACGGCTACAAAGGAGGCAGCAAGTGGTCGCGAGTGGTAAGGAGAAAAAGAAGACGACAACTGAGCCAGTAGTGACGAGATCGAGACCAGAGTCAAGAATGGAAGTGGATGAAGCGCTCAGATCGAGCGGCCGCTTCAACATGGACCGCGTGGCTCAAGAGCGCTTGAACGAAAGTTTGGAGGCATGGACGCCACCTGAGCCCGTCCCTTCTATGAGGAATCTAGAGGCGAATCGAATCAGACCGCTAATGGTCATTGCGCTACCAGGACTGACGTCCAGCTCGACTAGCGGCAGTTAGTCCGGAACGGGGACGTCACATCTTAGGGAGTTGCAGGAAAGGTTGCAGGCGAAGGCTCTTGAGAACGCTGCACGTGAGCAGCGACCAACCACCTTGAGAGAACATCCAGTAGGAGCGTAGTGATCTCGAGTTACAAAAAGAACACTGACGGCATGTACCACCGACATAATCGAAAAGACTGGACAGCTGCGCAACAAGAGAGAAAAGATGCCTTTCATGAAGCCACGTGGGCAGAGTACTTCGTACAACCGAGAATACCCGAAGGCACGAGACACTTGATAATAGGGGACAGTCTCGTCCGGTTCCTGACAAGGATCCAGGCCCATTGGCAAGTGGGAGTCTTGAGTTTCTCGGGCGCAGCGATGCTCCAGACGTTGGCGTCCCTGCAGATGCGCCAAGGCGTTAGCAGTTTATGATCGGTCGGATCCTGGAACGGCGAGAGCGATCATTTTGGCGGGGTCGGACTTTGAGGGGATGTCACCGAAGTTGTTTTTGCCAGAAACCT